TCTATTTAAAATAATAGTATTATGTTTTTTTCAAAGATCACAGTTGCAGATGGATTTTAAGACCAGTAACAGGAACAGAGTCAATTTGGCACTTAATTGTTGTCGTATGGTTTTCCTCCATTTAGAAATCATTAAGTTGGCAGGCAATTAAATTAATGATGAGTCTGCTGGTTTTGGCTGTCAAGGGATTAGAATAACAGACTGACCAAAGGCATACCCAGGACCAGGTTGTGAGGTTACGAGGGATGGATGAATCTGTCAATTTGGGTTTCCCTCCTTTTCTCATTTTTCTAGTCATAGGTTCAGTTTGCCACATTTCCACATTTGTTTGCAATGTTTTTAAGATCCTCAGGAAAATTCCCCAGCATTTTAGCATGCATTTGTCCTAACGTACACATTTTTGCAAGCAATTTCCCCTGGTATGAAGCATTTCTGTGTGTTCTTTATACCGATAAATACATTTTTATGCACACTTTCCTCTAAAATATGCATTTCTGGAATACTTTGTTGTTGCTGCTGTTGGAGACCTGGAACTCAAAATCCAGAGAACTGCAATTCTTGAACATGGTTATGTTTTACGTCATGAATTGCTTCTGGAAGCATGAATTTGGTATTAAAATGTGAACTGAACTGAATTTCTCTCACATCAATGTTAGCTCAGTGTAAGCTTCCCAGCAAGTGCATCACTGCCGCTTACTAGGAGGTGTGGACTAAGACAGGGGGCAGTTCCTCAGTGTGCACACACTAGTGGAAGTGTTGGAATGCACAGCACCCCTTCCAACACCTCATCCCTTGTCTTTTCCTTAAAAAGGGAGGAGGAACCAAGTGGCTGTGTGCCGGTGCCCAAAGCTTGTGGCCCTCCTGGACTTACTAAGCTGATATGTGATAATACAGGCATGGCCTCTTTGCGGCTCCTTTTACTGGCGCTGGGTACCTGTCCTTTGCTCACTTGCAGCTGCAGCCTACAGACAAATTAGCAGCAGTGCTGGCTAGTGCCCAGTTGTGGAATGTGAAACACAAGAGCAGTCAAGTACAACAATCCTAGAGTGGACATAAAAGGGGATGTCTGGACCAGCCAGTCAGAACTTCCTGTTTCTCCTGTCTGGGACAGACTTCCTCTGCATGAGACTAGAGGCGGGCGTGACCTCACCTGCCCAGGTAACAAAAGAGCAGGACTGGTCAGCCACCTCTCTCTCTCTGACTACTTTCGTTGAAGAAGCAACATCTGCTTAGCCTAAAATGCCCTCTTGGCTTGTAGCCAAGAAAAGACAAAGGGACTGTCTCCTTATGGGATAGTTTCCAGGTGTACATTACTTTTCCAAGCTAAGTCTGCCTTCTGGCATCCAGTTGTGAACAGAATGTGAGTGAGTAAACTCTTTTTATACTTTTATAGAAGACTGTGTTGTGTCTTATCTTTTTATGAGGGACTAAAGGGGAATTACCTTTAAAACGTATTATAGAGCCTGAGCAAACACATCCGCTGTATGTTTAAAAAGGGGAATGTTACTCTGCTAAATTGTGGAACTTGTTAACACAAGTTGGAAAGGATATCATCAAACAATATATCCTCTCCTGCATCCCTGAACATTCCCACACCAGTGCCCACCAGGACTGGTCGGGTGGAAGGCAGGGGATACAACGGTAGGCAGAGCGAGAATCAATCAATTTCAACTTTGTCCCTATACTCCTCCCAGCTGAGATCTTCAAGGGCAACACTGAGACTAAGGAAGATGATGCTCACCATCAGTGCCACCCCCTGGACCAGTTACAAGTAAGAAAGTAGGTGGGTGGGGCTTGGCTGACAACAGACTAAGGTTGGTGAGGCAGTGCCCCATTTACCCTAATGGACCAGCCTCCGCTGATTAGCAATAACCCAGTCAATAAGCCCCAGGCCTCTCTGCTCTGGAGGTCCTCCTTCTGATGCTGATGAGGCTGACTGTGGAATTTGCACCTGCATGTGATAATATGGTAACGGCTTGAAAGCGTAAGAAGTGTCTTGCTGGATTAGACCAAAGGCCCATCTAGCATCCTTTTCTCATATGCCTATAAGAGGCCCACACGCAAGACTCGAGCACAAGAGCACTCTCCCCAGGCCTAGTCAGAGGCACCTGTGTTAACTCCTTTTCAAGTCATCCAAGCTGGTAGCTGTGCAGTTGCTGCCACTACGCTCTGTGGCAGTGGGTTTCATAGTTTATCCATCCAGGCTGTGAAGAAGTGCTTCTTTTTGTATGTCCTGAATCTTCACCAAAGTCCAGCTTCATTGAATGACTCTGGGTTCTAGTATTATGAAAGTTGAATTATGCTTAACTACTGCATATGGTCTATGATGTCCTTGCTCTCATAAAAATCATTTAAAAAATAAAATAAAATAGTAAAGTAAGTAACTGATTCTTAAGGAAAAGTAAGGAAAGTTGCCCATTTCTTCAAGGTGCACTGGTACTCCCCCCCCCAACATGAGATACTTGCAATACATAATTCTGTAGTGATACATTGGCCTTTTCCGTGCAACAGCCTGCATGTGGCTTGCGATGAGCTGTAAATCGTTTTGTATACACTAGCTATAACTGTATATCATTCCAACTTAACTCTTCCAAATTAGCTCTTTCTCTAAGCCATAGTTCTAGTCCATCTTTTCTCACATGGAAGCATTTTGTTGCAAATGCTCTAGCTCCACAATTCTTTTTCTTAAAATGGGAATAGAGGCTGGAACTATGCTCGATATTTAAGTTAAAGTGCACTGTGGATTTATAGAGTGGCAATAGGAGATTTTGTTTTTTAATAGAAGGTTTAAGTCCATAGTTTGAGTTATGAAGACCCTCAAACTATATTAGTGTCACAGCTTCTGTTGCCTTTAAAATGTCTGAATTTTCAGAGTGGGTGACCATTCCCAGCACAGCATCTTGTGCCACAAAAATGCCCATAGACAGTACCTTTGTCCTTCTTTTTATTTTGCCTTAATAACATACCCTTCAACATTTATCTGGTGAAAATAGGGGTGTCCTATTCAAAACTAATAATAATGGTGAAAATTTTATTATTTATACCTGCCCATCTGACAGGGTTGCCCCAGCCACTTTGCATGGCTTCCAACATATCTAAAACATAATAAAACATTAAACTTTTTTTAAAAAAAAACTTCCCTATACCTTCAGGTGTCTTCTAAAGGTTGTATAATTATTTATTTCCTTAGCTCAGGGGTTGCATAACTCCATACCCTCCAACATTTCTCCTATGAAAAGAGTGATGTCCTAAGGAAAAGTGGGACATTCTGGGATCAAATCAGAAACCAGGATGGCGTCTGTAGATCTGGGGCTGTTCCTGGAAAAATAGGGATGCTTGGAAGGTCTGGAATATGAATGCAGTGAGGCCCAAACCATTCATTTTGTTTCATCCTCAGACATCAGCTGAGAAAGCAATATGAGCTCAGTGACTCAATAAATTATATCAGTTGATGGAGTCTCAGTAGATTACGGACAAGGTTATAGACCTGTGGCCTTCCAGAAAGTGTTGGATTCCAACTGTCTTCCTCTCTAACCATGAGCCATGCTTACTGGGGCTGATGGGAGTTAGAGTCCAACAGCATCAATTTATTTATTTAGAAAACTGAATAAACTGCTTAATCAAAAACAATCAAACCTGCCTCTAGTGTACATAAAACAATATAAAACAGATAAATTTCAGCAAATGTTAAAAACAAGCATATGTAACTGGATTCTGTGTCTGGATTCATTATGTTTTTTCTTTCTTTCCCATGACAATAAAAACAGAGCATTTGAACACCTTGTAATGCTTAAGTTGACTGTTTTGACATTATGAAAATATAGCCTGAAATTTAAAGTGAGGGGATCTCTTCCTGCCTGCCTCCCCCTTTTCTTACTTAAGACATTACAAACAGCAATTATTAGGAAAGATTGAAGCCAGGTGAAGTATCTGAAGACACGGTTACTGAGTTCTCTAATCATCTGCATAATTTGCAGCATTGTCAGTCAACAGGCATTCGTGGAATCTGAGTACCAGTCAGGGACTGGGAAGATTAAGAGGAGTGGTGGAGACCACCTCCCCAGGTGTCTTCTAGAGAGGTGGAAGGGGCAGATAGTATAGATCCACAGGACTGGTTCAACACAGGGCACACCCTAGAGCAGCCTTTCTCAACCTGTGGGTCCCCAGATGTTGTTGAACTACAACTCCCATCACCCCTAGCTAGTAAGGCCAGAGCTCAGGGATGATGGGAGTTGTAGTCCAACAACTTTCTGTTCAGCACTTCATGTGATCAGACTGTACATGCCAGAATAGTCTTGTTGAGCTGATGCCCCCCCCCCCCAAGTTTTGGACTACAACTTTCATCAGCTCACCTGACCTCCAGTTGCATGCATTGCTGCTGCATACTGGGATGAAAAAATGAGGCATGGCGGTGAAGTCAGCATGGCAAGGACAGCCCACCAATCTGGCACTCCTGCTAATGCGTTCGCACTGCACCAACCTTGCCAGCTTCTCACCTCTCCGTCCCGGTATACAGCAGCAATGCAGGCAACTAGAGGTCAGGTGAGCACCACCAGCAGCCTGCCTTCCATCACTGGCTACCAATTAGAATTGACAGTACTAGGCTAGATGAACCAATAGTCTTACACGGTATAAGGCAGACTCATATTCTAACTATGAGAGGTGATTCATGAAGCCAGTTTCCCCCATTAAACCAGCCATGTGGGATGAGTTACTCAAAGGTCATCTTTGCCACTCCTACAAATGTGTTGACCTGCTGTTAAGAGTAATTTATGACCAAAACGTTTTAGTATTCACCTATTCACAACACCCTTCTATTTCAAGAATGAAATGATAAGCTTCTGCCTTATTGCACTGGATGACAACAGCTATCTCTCTTGACCTTAATATCTGCAGACCAATAAAACACAGGAAATTACATGAAAACATATCTAGATCCTATATACAAAAGGCAGGGTCCCAAAGACATTTCAGCATTTCCATAAAAGATTTGGATTTATGTGCTTTTTATCCGCTGGAATCACTGATGGGAGTTCAAAGGTCTTGTGCAACTTCATTCTGTAAAAAATAATTGAAAATTTGGGTACAGAGATGGGGACTGAAACAAGGGCAGCATTCTTTCACCAGAGGCCGATGTCTGTAGGCATGTAGTAATTTGGGAATACTCAAGAAGAAAATGGGAGGCTCAAAGGAAGCCTTTCATACACAAGGCAGCAATAAGTATTTGCAGTATCAGAGCCAGTGGTGTGCATGGCCCATTTGGATAAAATGTCTCAAAACCACGCCATTTAATTCCATAATGCACAATTATATAACAATATTAATTGTATCATGAACTCTTTAAATGGTCTCATTCATACAACCAGTGGATTTTGTGTTTAAAAGTATTTGAATTTTCAGATTAGACAATGAAGAAGACACACAAAAATGGAAATTCCACCCTACCGCAGGCACAGTCCCAAATCAAAGACATTTCGTATCTTGTAGATGTTTTCAAAAATCATATGAAAGTGTAATTCCATAATTTCCCATGTGTAGTAAGAAGTCTGTACCCATTTTCTTTTATTGCTCCTTACATTATAACACGAAACCATGTAGACTGAAATTCCTTATTTTCTGGATGTTATATGTTAGATACTGTGTTTAAATTGTTCCTGAACTTCTCCCTAAACACTTCTTATCCTTAAAAATGCATATTTTCAACGAGAGGAAACATTCAAGTTTCATCTTCAGCCCCATGTCACTGATGTTTGTTTACCTAGATATCAGAGAAATGTGTTTGTCAGGCAAATATTTGTTCTCTAGCCAAGGTCATCATTTCCTCATATGTTGTATAATCTGTCTCTTTAAGAGGAATGTCTAGATTGCCCCTCCTCTTCGTGATCCAATGAGAACTGGCTGTTCAGAGTATGTTAGTCTATCTGCTTAGCAAAGTCCCCAAGTTGCTGAGTTGTTTTGCTGGTGTCTCTCTTCTGGAATAGAACTGGCAGGTTAGAATGTCATCTCGCACAATGGACATTCTCCTCCCTCTGTGCCCAGAGAAGGAAACACCACAGAACTATCTCTGGCAAGTAAGGTTAGGATATTCAACGAGTGGTTTCTTTATCATGTTGGTAATAATCGGCCCTGACATCGCTGCCATAAAATGAGGACCTCCTGGCACAGCTAAATATATGAAAAGGCCTAAATGGGATTCATAAGCTTGAACTCAAGACATCTGAACACCACAACCCACTGTAAAATTACCAGCAGGAAATCTTCAACAGAAACATGTTAAGATCATTCTCTGCAGTTGATGTAACCAGTTCACACATTCAGTTGAAAATGTGTCAAAGATATGATACGCACAATACTAGACTTGCTGACACTGTTGATGCAGTGATTTAGGTGAGAATAAAGGACATTTCGTTTTTGCTTGGTTGTGTGATGGATATCACAGACAGACAAACTACCACATGGTAACAATAGTCATTGTCTGGTATTATCTAATGGCTCCTTCCTGAGGATTTTGAGGATGGTGAGAAAATTGTTCAGTTCACAATGTGAACCTACCAAGGTGTGCACTTTTTGAAATAATGTGTGAACTAGAACGCAGCTGTCCTTTTCTGATTTTTGCAAGGCAGTTCTTCAAATTCACCCATTAGGGAAAAGTCCACACAAAATGCATATATTGATGAAAACATACATTTTTATATATATTAGAGGAAATTGTTGGACAAAACGGTGTACACAAATGTGCATATTAGGAGGAAAACACATGAAAATGCATACCGGTTTTGTTTTAGACTTTTAAAATAAACCAGTATCGAAATGGGGTGAACTGAACTGAAGATTGGACAAAAGAGAAACTGAGAGAAACTAAAACGGAAAAATTAAACCATCCCTAGTTCTGACCTCAGGGATTTGCCCAGTGGCCAATGGCATGATTGAGTCACACCAGTCACCCAACCTCCCTGCTGCTGAATTGCAGCTGCATAGTGGGATGGAGAAGGGGAGGGGCAACACATCAGTGAGGTGCAAACTTGCCAGCAGGAATACCAGATTGGCTCCGCTGGTGCATTTGCACTGTGCCAGCCTTGCTCCAGCCCAGTACGCAACAGGAACTCAGGTGAGTGGTGAGACCCCACTGCACCATCAGCTATTGGTTTCAGCACACCAGTAATTTCCAATAGACTGTTTTTCAAGGTCTGGAAAACAAACAATGGAAGTACATCTGTGGTTGCTTGGCAGTTGTACTGTGCTATCTTTCCTTTCCTGGCAAAATGGCCTTCTGGTCAATGCTCAGCACAGGAAGCAGGAAGCAGGCAGGTGGCTACCACTGGGATCTTTTGTCTGGTATATTATCAGCCAGATAGCTACGCCGAGTAACTTTGTATAGAAGTCTGAATACCAACCCAGTTTTATGGACTCAGCCTGACAACACATCTCTTGTCTTTACCAAACAATGATGGATGGATTTCTATAAGAGGAATTTTCAATGTTTTTTGATGCACATGTAAGTATGTGGAGGTTTTTTAAGAAAAAGGTGAACTTCCAGAATGATCAACCATCTCAGTTGTGACAGGTACAGAGATGAAGTATTTTGTGGTCACTTGGAATGAAGGATTTCATTCCACAAAATGCAGACCGAATGGTCCTAGTAGATTTCCCTCAAGTACTAAAATTTGCCATGTGATACCACTTATGTCAAAATCTGCTTCTGAGGTTCTCTGTATAGCAAAGGCACATGCTTACCTCGCCACATTTGTTCTTCATGTGGTTCTGATATGCCCACTCATTTTTCATTGTGCTCTTTCAGAGAGTTGCGGCCCATGGTTAACAAAGGAGCTTAATATAGCTTTACTTTTGAATATACCTACTACTTATCAGTTGTTAAAAGCATGCTCTACACCGACTGGAAACCACAGGAAGCATATGAGGCGATTTCCATCTCCTAAACTTTTGTGCTTGTTTTGAAGGGTGGAAAGAATGTGTGACCTGCAAAGAAGGCGGATGCAAAATATCGAAGCAATTCAACTGAATGGCTGCTGTGCTGTTAAAGCTAAGGGAAAAAATCTGAAGGATAATTGCAGGGCAGGGGAGGAGAGGAAAGGAGAATGAGACTGAATACTGACTTCAGAGACCTTTAATATACCTGGGTTCCATTTTGCTGGGGCTGCTTTTCTCATGTGGATCTCACAGAATTTTCTGGTTCACATTCTGGAATCTGAGGGATTCTGGACTGGCTGCTAGGCCTCATTATTGCACATGTTCCAAAGACTCCCGTTCATCACAAAATTAAGAACAAAATAAGAGTTCTGCTGTCTCAGGATAACTGCCCACCTAGTCCAGCATCCTGTTCTCACAGTGGCCAGTCAGATGGTTATGGGAAGCCTGCAAGCAGGACCTGAGTACAACAATACTCTCCCCACTTGTGATTCTCAGTAACTGGTGTTCAGAAGCATTCGGCTTCCAGTGACGGATAGCGTGGCACAGGGGTGGTTGCCCCAGGTGCAAAATTGTTAGGGGCACAAAATTTTGACACCTGGTCCCTGATACAGCTGCATGCTTCCATTGCTGACCTCCGTTGGAAAATGGCTTCTATATGCAAACCAGGAAGTGACCTCTCCAGACAATGGAACAACTCTTCTTTTCTTATCTCTGAGGCTGCAGTCTCCTGGATGACACAGGCACTGTTACGCAGTTGAATACACATGTGTTCTCCAATGACCCTCAGTCTCCAATGACTACAAGCAGCTCTCCAGGATTTCAGACCTTCCCAGCCCTACCTGAAATTCCAGAGGTTGAACTTGGAACCTTCTGCATGCAAAGCAGATGCTCTAGCTCTGAGTTATGGCCTATCTGAATATTCCTATGAAGTGGACAAAACAATACTAGATTAAAGGGGGGGGGAATAGTATTTGGGATGTGAAACCAGCAAGAGACTTGGCTAGAACATTACATAAAAGCATTTCTCAAGCAATATTATTAAGTATGTGAAGTTGGCAGCAACTCAGGTTGATCTCATACAGATATGGTTTGGATCCTAACATAAATTAACAAGAACGTTTTCTATCCCTTCATCCTACAGCCACCTGTGTGCTCCCCCAAAAGGCTCTACAGAGGGTCAGGGGAGCGGGGCTCCTGGACAATGTGGGGTGAGGTGCTGAGGACTGTCAGGGGCAGATTCTTTCCTGAGGTGAAGTTTCTGGGACATTGTTACTGGGACTGAACAGGATACGTTGATTATTTTTTAAAAAAAACGGAGATTATTGCATGACAGGAATATTGTGATCGTAATGAATCTCATCTTTGGTCGTCGTGTTTTTAAGGTGTGACAAAAACTCAAAGTCACCATGCCCAGGGTTATCTCCAAAGACTTTATTCCCTCTCCCCAAGAATGAACAAATTGATTGTGATATACTTGGGGACCTTTCATTGTGGCATAGCTGACCTGACAGTTCTTCCAAGAATGTTTTTGGAGGGTTTGGTGGGTTCTGGTAAGAAGGTTCATGAATCTGCCCTCACCCTCAAACTCACTACCCCCACAGCACCACCTGACAGCAGCAATTACAGCACTCCTTCAACTCTCAGTGGCTAATAGACACCATCTTTTCTTCCCAGTATCCCCTGGTGTGAAAGCAGGAAGCATGGCTGCCCTCTGGCTAGTTTCGTGATGGTACATCATCATCATGCAGCTTTTAGATCGGAATGCATTTATAATTTACGTGTGGAGTCAGTGTGGTATAGTGGTTACAGCATCAGACTGGGACCCAGGAGACCAGGGTTCAAATCCCCACCCTAATTCTGGGAGAAACCTTTGGGCAGTTCAGAAAAGTTGTCAGCCTGCAACTGACAGCGCCTCAAGGAAAAGACAACAACAGCTAAAGAAACGCAAAGAGAGTCCCTGTTTTCGGCTTTCTTTCTCTTTATGTTAATGGACATGGACTCTTGAGTGGAGGCAGTTTACTTAACAAACTAGGCTGAGTGCCATCGATGAGATACACGATCCACTCCTTTTCTCTTCTCTGGGGCTGCCTCTTGTACAAGCCAGGCATTTTCTGCAACAGAACAGTGTGTACCCACTGTCTTGTTTGTGTTTACCACACGTGAGGGATCATCCGACATGCTGTTCTGGTCTGCCGGGGATTATGTTCCTTTGGCAAAGGAGAATAAGCTTCTTTCCTTGCACTTATATGTGATTCTGCTTGACTCGGCTTCACAGATTTCATTGTCACCTGCTGCAACTTGATCTGAAAGACAGAGACGTGTGTGTGTGTCTTTGTGTTTATAATGACAAGGCCACAGTGTCTTGGCTTTCCTAGATGAATTTAAGGAACATAGAGCCTAGCTATAAGCAGAGCTTTCAACTACAGGATGAAATAATTTTATTTTTCTTTAAGTATTCTAAAAACAGATAAAACATTCTAAAAACTGTTAAAAGCATTCTCTCGTCCAGTGATTTCAGGGTCGCCGGCAACAGTGCCCTTCAAATGCTTGGGTAATCGGGAATGTTTTCAAATTCCCCCTGAAAGTCAATAATGATTGAGACAGACACAGCTGACCAGGGAAGGCATTCTACAAACAGGGAATCACTGCTGGAAAAGCCATGTCATGGGTCAGTGCTAACTGGGCAGTCCTCGGTTGTGACATCACCAAAACCCATCTTACTGATGTAGGGTCTGAAATGGTTAATCCTGGGAAATGCCAGTTTTGAAATAATGACTACTTTGAGCAAAAGGGACAATCTATATCATGCACTCTGGGATTTTGTAGTGGCCATGCAGAAATGTGCCCCATTTCAGCTCAGCACTGTTTGGGGCACCCAATACTCTAGAACAGTGCTCTTCCACCCTGGGTCCCCAGATGATGTTGGACTACAACATCCATCATCCTTGGTCACTGGGTGAACTGGCTGTGGATGATGGGAGTTGTAGTCTAACATGATATGGGGACTCAGGGTTGAAGAACACAGCTCTAGTGTTTTTTG